TCAGGCAGAAGGGGAGGGGCTGGGGACAGACTCCCCGAGCCAGCCCTTCAGTGCTGCCAGGCCCACACCGCCCGGGGCTCTGGCAGCGATTTAAAGGGCCCGGGGCTCCAGCCGCTGCCAGGAGCCCCAGGCCCTTTTAAATCACCGGGTCTGAGGGCAGCTGCCCCTTTTTCCCGCGCCATCAGCAGCCCTGCTGTACCGGACCGGATCAGCTTACTTTCACCTCTGCATTGGAGCCACAGTGGCTTACGCCTGCAGTGACTTTGGCTTTTTGTTCTCCCCTCTCTCCCACGGGCAGCTCTTTCTCACTTGGTCTTCTCAGTTGGACTCTCCTGTCACGCTCATGCAGTTTCCAGCAGGGATTTTTCTCTCTGACACCAGTAAGTGCTAAGGATTCAGATACCTGCCTGCCAGAGGGGCAGAGAGCCAGACAGATGTCTCCAGGAGAGCCGCTCTGCAGAACACGAGGAAAAAGCTTTATTGCAAAACACATTTCATTGGTGCCGTGTGTTACGGGTTAGCAGTAAGTGAGATGACCACTTTCGAGATACAATCTGAGGCTAACCTCTCTGTGTGCATGTCCGTGATTATGTTTGAGTCATTCCCAGGAGCTTGCTGTAGAAGAGACCGGAGGGGTGAAGATGAATGATGGAAAAGGAGCTGTAGAAAGTGCAATCCAGCTGCAAAGAGCCAAAATCAAACTGTGGGAAGGGGATGAGTCTCTTCTTCCAGCTCTCAGGCTCTGATAGCTTATATTTCCTCTATGTTCATGATGGGGAACTGTGCCCCTTGGGGCTCATCCCCTCCCTTCTCCTCACTCTGGAATAGGCTCTGGATACACTAAACCCTTCTGCAGGGCTGACTGTTACAGGATTTCATTTACACAGATCCATGTGGGCTCTAGGTGGGAGTAGCTGCTGTGCAGAGCTGGGAGCTCAATCTTTCTTCTGCTGGTTCTGATCCATTCCTAAACTAGGAAGGAGCTACAACAAAAAATCCAGAAAGCACCAGTTAGTGGAGGAGACATGCTTGGTACAATTATCTTTTTGTTCATACGCATCATGGAGCATGTTTGTTCCCCTGCATGTGTGAGTTCCTGATCAGGGTGATAGAACAGGAGGGAAGGGATGTCCACCATGTACACACTCACACACACACGCACAGTCAGAGAGAGCGGGCTGCTGATTGAAACAAGACTGAGCATAATTAGATGGAATGTGTCAGCCCAAGATGTGAAATTTGGCAGCTCAGTCTCACCAGGTCTGTCTGGCATCTCCCTGGAGTTCTTCCTGTACCGGATGTTCACCCAGATGATGCACAGAAAGATGGGGACTTTCCAGATGACCAGGGATTTTGTTTGCAAGCACCATGGCCTATTACAGGGTCTGGTGGAAAATTGAACCTGCAGTAGCAAGGGGTTCCTGACATTTCTGTGGATTTCCACCATCAAACCCTTCATTTTAAACACGCAAATATTCTCAGTCTTTTCTTATTTGGCAGATCTGCCCCGGGCAGTGTGTAAACCAACTTCCTGCTG